AAATTAGTGACAAGAAAATTTGGGCAAGAGGTATATGAACAGACCTCTCTGAATGGGCAAAAAATATAAAGATATTTTTTGTGAATGCTCATCAAAGGCTGACCTCAGCCGAGGAGGGTTTTAATCATCAAGTGAATAGGATGCCCAATTCTGTGGACACCAATCAGCCTCTTTCCCCAACTAACCCCGTCACCACACAATAGGCTCATGAACAAAATAGCAATGTGACAGGAGTGGAGGTTACACATGAACCCAGCAACATAGCTGACCTGGCTACAGTCACTGCTTAGTGCCTAACCTGCCAGCAGCAGAGTCCCTAATGCAGCATCATTCCCTGGATGGTCAGCCAGGTACCTGTGGCAGGCTGATTACACTGGACCACTTCCATCATGGAAAGGGCCACATATTGTCCTTGCTGGAACAGACACTTACTCTGGATATGGCTTTGCCTCCCTGCTCCCAGTGCTTCTACCAAAACTACCATCCACGGACTTATAGAATGCCTCCCCAATGTGGGCGGGCCTCATCCAATCCGCTGAAGGCCTGAATAGAAGAAAAGGTGGAATGGAGTAAGAGAGAATGCACTCTCTCCATCTTCAGGCTGCGACACTGGTCTTCTGCTGCCTTTGAACTCAAACGCATACTGGAACTTACACCACTGGCTCTCCTAGGTCTCAGGCCTTCAGACTCAGGCTGGAACTATACCGTCAGGCCTACTAGGTTTTCAGCTTGCCAACTATAGATCTTGGGATTTCTCAACCTCTGTAGTCACGTGAGCCAATTTCTCTTCCCTCCCTCCATCTCTCCCTTTCTTCCTCCCTCTTTCGGTTCTTTTTCTCTAGAAAGCCCAGGCTAATTCCAAAGGCAATCCCTTCAAACTGGTAATAGACAATAAGGGGAAGTCTAGGAAAATGCAAAGGTGGCTTCTCATTTGTCCTTATCAAGCAGGGCTTCCTGATTGGGTCCTGGAGATCAAGAAAACAAAGACAGAAATGAAAGGCCACTGGATTAAGAGTCAACCAGCAACTAAGGCAGATAAGGTACTTGCAAAATTGTTTGATTACAATCAATTTAACATACATTTATCGAGTACTAGGTAATAGAAATGTTATACATTTATATGTAAAATACTCAGGAGTTCTATAAACTTGTTTCCAATAAGAATCCAGCTGTAGAAATCATTTTTATTCTATTTATATTTTCATTAATGGTTTCTCTTTAGTTTCCTTATATGAAGGTAATTCAATCTTATAAGGGAAATTGCCTAACTAAACTTTGCTAAACATAATCTAGGACAAGAATTCTGAGTTGAAGGAAAACTGCCTTGACGTAAGCCACTTGGAGGAGAACAAAAGAGATTACGCAATTACCTCTTTCTATGTGGACATTCTTCCTTCTGAACTAGTATTCAGTACTATCTTGTAGGGCTTCAAATTTACTGAAGTAAAGATGACTCTTCCCTATAATACCAATCCCTTATGTATAGCCCCAAGCAGATACTGGTTGCCAGTGCTTATTTAAATTCTTACACTTGCAAACCCCTACCTCTCTACTGGTAAATCCAGCACACAAGAACAATGTGCAAGGATTAAATCAAATTTTGAGCTGTAACACACTGAAGTTTTACAAGGAAGCAATCACACAACTAAAGTAATCTTTAAAATATTTTCTCTAGATTTTGAAGAGGGGAGGGCTTTTGATTAAAAATGTGTTTATCTTCTCTTTCTCTTAAACCTATACTAAATGACAAGAAATTTTAAAAACATAAACTGCAATGATGAAGAGAATTGAGGAGGGGGCATAACTTTAGTAAGTGATTTGGGAGGTCTGGAGGGAGACACAACTACACTATGTGCAGATGGAGAATATGGACAAAATTTGCCCTGCAAAACCCCAAAGCGGATCAAAATGCTAGATACAGACACAGCTAAGTATCTGACCTGTCAGGATTAAAAATGTGGGAGTTGATTGGAAATCTGCACAAGCCAAGAATTGACTCCCAAGTCTTTCACCTCTATTCCAAGCAAAAAAAAAAAAAAAATCACACAGGTTTCTTCTCTGAAGAAACCGAAACAACCTCAGAAGGAAAAATCCTCCACTTAGTGTAGGTACTGAGGCTCCACCAATGTCCATCAATCACCGTGAAACAAAACCAGCCAGTTGATAAGCCAGCTCCTGTGCTGAGTCCTGAATCAACTTTTTAGTTCCTCGCTCCTAAATATTAATGAACAACAAAAATCATTAGCTATATGAAGTTTCTAAAAAGAAAACAAAATAAAGAACAAAATGACCATTTAGAGAGAGAACCTGAGAAATCTGAACATAACAGAAACACTCTACTTAATAGTTTTTAACAAAGCAAGAATTGAATGACATGCATAAGAACTGGTACATAATAAAGAGTTCCTGGAAATTGAAAATATGATTGCCAAGGTAAGTAGTTCAACAGAAACAGAGAAATGGAATATGAAGTTGAAGAAATATACTATAAAACACAATAAAACCCAAAGAAAATGAAAATATGAAAGAAAAGTAAAAGACTGAGAAATGATTCAGAAGTTCTAGTTTGTGATTACCAAGGATTCCAGAAAGATACAGAAAAAACAGATAAAACAAAAAAAAATCATGTAATGACGTAAGGAAATGTCACAATACCTGACTCTCCAAGAAGCCCACTATTTACCCATACATTAAGTGGAAAACAAACAACTACAACAAAACTCAAATCCCAGCACATTCCTGTGAACTGCAGAATGCCAGAAATAAAATCAAAATGCCAGAAATAAAAGATAAAAAGTCTCCCAGAGATTAAAACAGACAAAATACAAAGTAAAATGTATCCAAATGTAGGAGATTTTTCTCAGTAGCTAAACTAGATCTCAGAAAAGTAATGCATTCAGATATTAAGGGAAAACTCACTCCCATCCCAGCCAAACTATTAAATATCAATCAAACGAGAGTAGCTAGGAAAGGTTTTCAGTAATGTAGTCAATAAAAAAATTTACCATCGTTTTGCCCTCTTAGGGAATAAATTAAAGATAAGCTTTAGCAAAATGAGGGAGTAAACCTAAACCAAAAGAAGATATATCATCCAGGAAATAAGTGGAGCCAGTCCCAGAATATAACAACAGTCCCTGCACAACAGCTCAAGAGATGCTTCAGACAGTAACCTGTTCAGATCAGAAAAGGGTGACTGATGTGGGGCGAGGGATAGAAATACTGTTTTTTCATTAAGCCTGTGGGTACTATGTGAATATTTTTAAGCCAAGTAAATGTTATCACACTACTTTTTTAAATTTAGTAATATTCAAAGGGAAAAAATTAAGAAGCAGTTACCTGAAATCTTGGACTCATTCAGCCTTTAACATCTATTAACATTTTGGGAAACTTTAAAGATGTCCTAAAAATTTTTCGCAATTTTCTTCTCATAATTTTGTTGTCACTGCATAAATAAAGTCAATTTGATCAGTGTGTACTGCCTAACGCTTCAGAGGTCATAATGACAGAAAGCCATTAAGAGATTTAGTTTTTCATAAAGTATCTCAAAAAATTGTTTATTATTTTTAATAAACAATTGGTAACCAACTTATCATTGGTTACCAATTTACCTACTGTTTCCTGAATTATACTACTTCTATCATAACTAGAGGTGGTGTGGTCTTATTAGCTGACATTTAATCAGGCTTCATGTTTCAGGGCAATGAATCCAGGCACAAAAGAGGGTGTGTGGTATAGCTCTCTAGTCCAAAGACTAATTCAAAGACACTTAACATATTTTAGCTATTTCCCACCCTTTCTACCTCCTCCTTCCTTTGACTCTGAAGCTCCTGATCAGAAAATCTTCTCCCTAGACTGGTGAAGAGAGAAATACCTTAAACAAATCTAACTCTCAGTTACAGTTAAACTAAATTGGAAGCTCAAAGTCTGTATATTTCAAACATGGAATTTCTGTCTCGAGAGGAATCCAAGAATCTCATATACAAAAAGTATCCTCCACTTTCTTGCTCTCAGTCTTAGCACAGAAAAGTTTCTTTTCAATAGGTAGCTAAACATCCACAAGAACGGAGGAGAGTAGTCCAAAAAATCCATAACCAAGTAACTTCAACGAGCCTTTACTGAGTATTCTGATCGCAACCAGAAATTCTAAGACTTGATCCCTGGTCCCAAGAAGCTAGAATATACAACCCTCAGGAAGATAACCCAGAAAAGAAGTTGTGCAGAGATGCCAGAACATTCTTTCTCAGCCATAATTTAAGCTAAATTTGTCTAGCCTACAAAAGACAAATTATCAATTTAAAATTCAATAACAGATATCCACATTTTCAAATTAGTATTTTATTCCTTAGTTTTCTGTGATGCATCTGACTTTGTCTGTAAGTGCTAAATGTTCAAACAAAAAAAATACTATTGGATCAGAAGCCAGATTCAACCATCAGCTCACCCGGTGTCTTTGGACAAGTCATATCACTGCTATGAGTCTAGATTTTTCTCAAAAAAAAAGAGGGATGACTGAGAAAGTAAACTTGAATGTTTTAAACAAAAGTGAAATTATATAACTGTGATTATATAAGTAAAACCGTTGTTTCTTATTTCCCACTTAGCTGAAATTACAAGTATATTAGCAGTCACTGATGACTAAATGTCTGCTATGTTTCAGACATCAGATGTCTCAATTTACAACTACCATTTCTAATTCTCTCAAATAATTGTACAATGTAGCTACTATAAAAGTGAGGAAGCAGAAGCAGAGAGGTTGGCTTACCAAATATCACACAACTCATAAGTGTTGAGGACTTTATTGAAACCATTATGCAAAGTCCCATGTATTTCTCTCACAAAAATTTCTATTATGTATTATACTGTTTACAAGCATTATTTCTACAGAAATCTAAATAGACATTAAAATGCCAATTAACTTTTCTTGTTTTTTTTTTTAAAGTAAAGTCAATCCATCTTGCAACTCAAAATATCAGAGCCAAAAATGTTCATTATGTACTCACCTGATGCAGCAGACGTTTCAGTTTGAGTAACTGAGTTTTTACAGCAGTACAATCCTGGACCATGTGCCGGAGGGTCATCTCATCCAGTATCACTGTATTTTCAGGTATATCTACAAACATCTTCTGAGCCTGGAAAAAGGGGGTCCCTCCATAGCTTTCAAAATGACCCAAAGGAGATTCTCTATAGGGCGAGCCTCTGGAAGGGCAGGACAAGAAGTTGGAGGGAAAAGATACACAACACAATTTCAGAAAGAATTAAAGGTAATGAAATCACTGCAGTGATTATTACAAATAATTTATCATTGTCACAAATCCTCTGACTTTTACTGACCTCAGACACTGCATTTGTTTCCACTGAAATGTCCAATCAGATCTAGTTGTTAATACAATTATTTTCTGCACTCGCCCCTTTTGTGTATTTTACACATTGGTTTATTAAATCTTGTTCCTTAGGAACATGAATAGAAACAACTCTGAGAAAAGGCGTGGCCTGGACAAAATTTTATACTTATTTTCCTCTTTCTGCACTGATATCTGCCTTTTAGCTTTTCACTTTAATTGGCCTCTTACATTTCACATCTTTTTTTTAGCCCCATAACTATGCTATCCATGTTAATACCCATATTGGACACACCCTGGACTCCTATTGCTTGAAAGTTCCAGCAGACAGTTAAGTCAGATGAACTGTTATTTATTATTTTGTTTTCAACATTGTGGATAAATCATCTTTTTCAATAAAGAATAAACAAGATTTTATAAAATCTTATACATACCACATATTTCCTAATCTTAGACTACATTAAAAAAATCTACTCTAAAAAACTTAAAAGTCCCTTTAGTTTAATACAATATAAATACTGAATATGAGAGAAAAAAAACAAAACAAAACAAAAAAACTAAGGATAACGTGTGGATGTGAAAAACACGTTTTTAACCAGAAGTCATAGCTACAGCAATTTAGAAACTACTGTATTCACATTACACATAATTCCCAGTTGGTTCTTAAGATTAGAACACACTGAAAAAATCTTCTCTCTAATATAATGGCTATGTTATACTAGGATTAAACTTAAATTCATGATGTATTAAGTTTGCAAAAGTCACAATACACTAAATTTCAACCATATTGAAAAAGTAGAAATATGGTTTCTACTATATTTTCTAAATTCTAACAAATACTATTCCCAAATCTCTAAATTCTCAAATATTCAATATGAACTTCATTTTCACAAGATTATTTTTCTCTGAAACTAATTCAGGCCTGATTTTTCTTTTAAAACCTCAAGAAAAAATTTAAGAACTTTTCAATTGCTGATCCACAGGAAATTTGTTCACATAAATATCTGCTTTATTTTTATTGGTTCAAAATATAGTTGAATTATTAAATTTCAAATACTGATCAATTAATTAGCATAAATTTACCATTCATGAGTGAAAAGATGGACAATCTATCTAGACACAGAGTGATGAAAAATATATAATAATAAAAAGTTAAAAAAATTGTAAGACAAAAATATACAATCACCTGGCATATGAATAGGAAGGATAGTATGAGTTACGTTTTTAGAGAAAAACGCTGACATACTTTGGGAAATTTTCTTGGATAGGAAAGAATTTGGGATGAACTATATAAAGTACGAGGTTTGAGTTTGACTGAAATGAAAGGTGAAGGCTTTCTAGAAAAAGAAAATGAAAAGTAATGGCACAAAGTGCAAGGCATGTTTTTCAGGACAAGGAGACTCTTAAATATGGCTTATGAGGCCACAGAGAGCCTGAATTCAATTTATTCTTAAACTTTATCCCTCAACACATCTGCCTCCCTCAGGCTGACTTCTTAATCCTCAGCAAATTATCTGAGATTGCCAAAGCATGCTACAATCTCCCTCATCTCCAAACCCATGTCTTCACTTCTCTACTTTTGGCCAGTCTATCCATCCTGCCCTCCACTGTGCCCTTGATCTGGAGACTGATAATTCCTCTTCATCTTAAATTAGTTGGCATTTCCTCAGAGAAGGCTTTCTTAATCCCCTAAACCACAGGTGCCCTTACACAGCCCAATACTGTGCCCCATTATAGTACTTGTCACATTATACTGTGTTCGTTTGTAACCATGCCAAATTAGAAACTCCACGAAGACACAAGCTATGTATTCTTTTCCTCTGTGTCAGAGGCAGCCGGTTTTATGTTTGTTTGTTTGTTTGTTTGTTTTTGTTTTTGTAGCTGTTGTTTTCACTGAATATGTAAGGAGTATGGATTTTAACCACCATGTTGATGTACGTCTCCACCTGTGAGATTCTAAACTTCTTTAAGTTATGATATTAAAAAGCACTACTTTAATATTATCTGGAAGGAGTCACATTCAAATATCTCAATTAGTAATCAAATTAAAGTTCACTTTTTATTTTACCAAGTGAATAAAAGAAAGTTTAGAGAGAGAAGAGACTGAAGGAGGCTGGTCTGCAGTCTACGGCATGAGAATCAGTGTGGACTAAGGGCTGATATTAGGCTGACATAAACATGGATCACATCCAAGAAACTGATGAATGAAAAAAATTTCAAAGGAAGAGTCAACGAGCCTTGATCACTAACTGAATATAGGGACAAAGAACTGGCATCTAGAAAAATCACAACAGTGTTAAATAGACAGCTCTGATCTAAGATTTACTGGCTGACATTAAATAGCTATTGAAAACAGTAAATATCTTTGGGCCATAGTTTCTTCAACTTTCAATGTTTTCAACAGCCTGCCAAATAAGTTCATATGCCTTAGAGGTTGCACTTCAAACACTTCCACCATGAGGTCCAAACTAAACACATCTTCTCCTAGTACTGAAATGATACTTCTTCCAAAAGCCCTCCCTCATCCCTTCCACTAAATAAAACTACTATTTTATGATCCTTAATTTACTTTACAACTTAAATTAAAGAAATCTGTATATGTAGCACCTCTAATTAAATTATAAACCCTTTGAGAACAGGGCTATATCTTATTAATGTTTATATTACCTGCACAGATTATCTTAGTTCAAATGTTAGTTCTCTTACTACCTATGTAACACACAGAGCAAGTTACTTTATCTATGCTTCATTTTCCTGATCTATAAAATGAGGATAGTAAGAGTGCTCACCTGGTTAGGTTAGTATATGAATTGAATGGGGTAATATATGTTAAAATGCTTGCAATAACGCCTGCTACATAGCAAGTATTAAGTAAAAACCAATTGCTATTGTATTTTTATTGTTATTATCAATAATTTGCAACTTTTTTATATTGAAAAAACTTTCTAACATGTCAAAAGAATTCTATAATGCCATATCCCTTCACCTATATCACCCAATTGGTAAATGTTGACACAATTGCTTCTTATCTGTGTATCTGTTGCTAAACCATCTGACAAGAAGTTGGAAATAATATAACACCTCACTGGAGGACTATTTGAAGCCTGCTGGGGGAAAAAAATGAGTATTACTGAGAAGAGGCAGAAGATGAGACACAACAGAAAGCAAATATATAGCAGGTTATTTTCAGAAAATAAAAGGACACTATTAAAACAGGAGAGGAAGGCAGAAAGATAACAAAGATTTTGAGATTTTACATTCTGAGAAGATGATGCAGTTCACACATGAGAATCTGAACCTTTGAATTAGAATGGGAGGTAAAATCACCTTCCAAGAGTGCAAGCAAAAATCCAGGAATGAAGACATAAAGAAGATGAAGAAAAAGAAACATGAGACAAAGGAGGAATTACTAGACACCTCATATTAAGGTGACATGCACAATTTTTACTAGTATACAAATTTTCACAATTATGGACTTCTAGTAGAGAAAATAGATGGTGAAAGCAACAGAAAACTGCAGGCTGCTTTGGGGAATCCACGGGAAGGTTTCCAGAGTGTCAGCAAATGCAGAGCCCACATGCCTTTGTGGCTCATATGGCCGATCACAGGCAAGGCGGGCTAGCAGATATGAAGAACTTAACTGGTACAGGTATGGGTGAAGGCAAAACTGAGTTCAGTGGTTAGAGAAGCATGAGAAAGAAATGCCCACAATCACCAATATTATTTTAAACCATTCTATATGCACAGCCAATAAAAAAAAATAGGATCAGAATAACTACAAAAATAAATCTTTAAGAGATCACCCTTTTTTTTAACCCACTTAAATTGAATCTACACACAGTAGCAGCACCTAATATTCAATCCACATGCCTAATAATCAATTGCTGCATAATTATTGTAGCTTTAAAGGAATCTTCCCCAAATTACATGGAGAGATTGATTTTTTTGTCTTCATTTATTTCCTAACCTGAGTTGCAATTTGACTTCACAAAACCTTTAGTGTTTCTTTTCTTACCATTAATAAAAATTATATATTAAAAGTTAAATGTGTGCATTATGTTCATGATTATATTTTTTTAAGTGCTTAATGCAACACAATCTCAATCAAAATCCCAGCAAGGTATTTTGTGGATATCAGCAAAGTGATTCTAAAGTATATATCAATATGTAAAAGACCCAGAATAACCAACACAATGCTGAAGAAGAAGAAAGTCAGAATACTGACTCTGTCTGACTTTCAGACTTACTATAAAGTAACAGCAATCAAGACAGTATGGTACTGACGAAAGAATGGATAGTCCATGGAACAGAACAGAGTTCAGAAACACACCCACTCGGTGAACTGATCCTTGACAAAAAGCAAAGGCAATTCAAAGGAAAGGGGACAGTCTTGTCAAATGGTGCTGGAACAACTGGACATCCATATGCATAAAAATGACCTCATACACCTTTCCGAAAAATTAACTCAACAAAGATCAAAGACCTAAATGTAAAATGCAAAATTACAATAAATCAAGGAACAACATCCAGGTGACCCTGGATTTGGCCATGAGTTTTTAGATACAACATAAAAAGTACAATCCATGAAAGAAAAAGTTGACAAGTTGGACTGCATAAAATTAAACATCTCTGCTCTGTGAAAAACACCATTAGGAGAATGAAAAGGCAAGCTACAGACCGGGAGAAAATATTTGTAAAATATGTATCTGATAAAGGACCGGTATCTTAAATAAAAAAAGAACTCTTAAGATTCAAACGAAAAATAAATACCGTATTTGCCGGCATATAAGACGATTTTTTGGCCCTGAAAAATATGCCTCCAAGTGGGGGGTCGTCTTATACGCCAGGTACACTTCA